CGGTCACCAGTAGGAAAAGCACGGCCCCTGTCTGAGGGGAGGGGTGGGCACGACTAAAGACAGGCACCTCCTCCAGCTCATCGAGGGTCTTTCTGAAAGGAGGGCCCTGGCTGTAGTGAGGACACAGGGAGAACCTGGGGCCTGTCTCTGCTCCCTATGTCTGCCCAGCTCTACTCCCTCAACCAGGGTCCAGTTTCATGACCACCTCCTCCAGGGAAACTCCCCTGACCCTTCCCGGTTCATCAGGGCCCTCCCTACCCAGAGCTCCTGTAGTCTTCCATTTGAGGCCTTGATTTCCCTGGTCCCCTCCACAATTAGTTCCTAGAGATGGAGCCAGTCCCAGAGAACCAAGCTGGGGATCAGAGCCCTGGGTCCTAGCCCTGACTGCCTGACAGGTGTGTGCCCCTGGGCAAAGCCTTCCTGATCAGACTTCAGGTTTGTCAGAAGCCTGGGAGGTTGTACTTGGGTTCTGATTCCAGAACTCTGGGGCTAAACCACTACTTGATAGGAACATGGCACAAAGAGGTTTCCCTCTAGGAACCTGCTGTCCCTTTCCAGGGTGGGGGCAGCCAAGGTAGGTCCCAGTGCCCACAGTCTAGGCTGGGGTAAAGCTGGGAGGCAGCCCCCGGGAGGTATGGGACATCTCTGTACCTGACAGAATCTCCGCAGGGCCCGCTGGTTGGTCAGTTTATACTTCCAGGTAAGATACCAGCTCCGCTTCTTTCGAGCCCCAAAGGGCTTGATGAGGGGGCTGGGCTTCCAGTCGTCCATGCCGGATTAGGGGGTCACCGCTGTCCTGGCCAACCCATGCCTTCAGGAATCTTAAGGGACCAAAGGGTCACATGGGGTAAGGTGTTCCTCCCAAAGTCTGATGCCTTCTGGGGAGATGAGGGAGGGCCTCCCAACAACTCTTCCCTGCAGGCATCCATGCTGTGTGACCTGGGGAAAGTGGCTCAACTTCTCTGGAAAGAAAAGCTTCAGAGGGGTCAGATTACCTGGAAACTCCCTTGGGGTTGGGGGAACTGAAGGGTTGCCCAGGGTCCCGGCGGTGGAGGCCAAATAATCGGGTCTCAAGGTTCACCAGCCCCTAAAAGGCCCAAGACCCAGCCTTCCCAGTCCTAGAGTGGGCACAGGGCAGCGACCCCCCCCCCCCCCCGCCATGCTCTGACCCAGCTGCAGCTGTTCCATCGCCGCCCTTCTGGACTTGCCTTCAGCTGTTGTCTCCCTCCCCGGTCCTCCGTCCTCGCCCCCTCCTACGTGACCCCACTCTTCTCCTCCCGGGGCTCGGGGCTCCCGACGACTCGGGCGACCTGCCCTGGCCGCGTCACCCCTCCAAGACCCCCGCCCGGAGGCACTCACGGCTCAGGGGCCGCGAGCCTCGCGGGAGCCCCGCTCGGGCCCGCACGGCTCGGCCCGGCGCGCCGAGGCCTCCGCCTCCTC